TCCTCTCGCTAAAACTTGACAAGTTGATAATTTAATAAACCAGCATGTTCACTTATAAGGTGAAATCTAAGAAGATTGTATCCTTGGTTCATTTATAAGAACCTTCTCTCCAAGCAAGTCAGACACGAAAGACGTGAAGGAGAGGTTTTATCCACTTTTCTTTCTATATATCCATTTTTATTCTTTATGTCCATTTTTACTATTTGAAGGTTTTTTTCATTGTTTAAAGTATTTCATATGTCACCTTTTCCCTCCCATGAAGGGCTTTTAAAACCAAGGTAATGCATTACTTTAAAAAAGTTATAACAATATTTGCTCTGGCTGGATACCTCAGTTGGTTAGAGCATCGTCCTGATACCCTAAGGTTGTGGGTTTGATCCCTGGTCAAGGCACATACAAGGAGCAACCAAAGCATGCATAAATAAGTGGAATAACAAATAGATATTTCTCTCTCTCCCTCCCTCCCTTCCTCCTGTCTCTAAAATAAATAAAATTTAAAAACTGTTAAAAATAAAAATTTATAACACTTTAAAAAAAGCATTGAGGCTAATCACAGCCAGTGACTTTGAATGAGAGGGATAATGGAAACGCAGTGCACGTAACGAGCAGTTAGGGGTGCAGTCTGGAATGCACATCTTAGACATGTAACGCAAAAATGCCAATGGGAGCTAGGGCCCTGCCGCTGAAGAGGGCCGCAGATTCCCCCTCCAGGTAGCCCTTGCTTCAAGGGGAGCTGGGCCACTACAGCTCCTAGCGGTGTCAGGAGTGTGTATGGAGACCTGAGTTAACTAGTATGGGTGTTTGATTCATTCTCATGATAGTCTGGCACCTGCGCGGGCAGGTGCTCCGCGACACCTCCAGTCAGCACCCCCAATGGGCTCTCGGTGTGTCCTCACCACTCGCTAGGCGACCCCACTGCAGCACTGACGTCCGCATTGCATGTTGTAAGTGACGTGGGGGACCGGCAGGCAGGGGCGTTGTTATTTATAGTCCGGAGTCACTTAACTATTTGTTAAGAACAAGACTATTCCTCACCCAAACTGTAAGCACGTCATTTGTTTCTGCTGCTGTTCCGTTATCCTTTACGACCCTGTCTACGTTCTGAGGACAGAGGGGGACACTGGTGACCAGCCAGAGGCCTATGCTTCCGGAGAGACTCGCTTCTTCCCTCCCCTCTCTCTGTCTGCCTTAGCCAACTGATTGGCTAAATTCTGGTTACTGACCTCCCGCAGGGAACAAAGCTAAGAGGTTAGCAGTAAGAGTTGGTTAAGGTTGAACTCGACTAGCTTCGTGAGGTGAGGGAGATATTAAGATGTGTGATTTAACTGTTAACCAGGGATACCTGTAGATTTGTGTGAACAACAATAGCTCAACAGCTCTGATAATTGCTAATAAAACTCTGGAAAAAAAGACTACAAGTATCTTGCCCTAATGGGTATTAAAACTTGCTATAGCCGAAGCCGGTTTGGCTCAGTGGATAGAGCGTCGGCCTGCGGACTGCAAGGTCCCAGGTTTGATTCCGGTCAAGGGCATGTACCTGGGTTGCGGGCACATCCCCAGTGGGAGATGTGCAAGAGGCAGCTGATCGATGTTTCTAACTCTCTATCTCTCTCCCTTCCTCTCTGTAAAAAATCAATAAAATATATTTTTTTTAAAAAACTTGCTATAAAGCCAGTGTAATCAAAAGAATAGGGCATTGGCACATGAACAGACAAGTAGATCAGGGGAATACAATATGGAAGAAAGAAATTGATTTTATAAGAATTTAATACAGTGTATAGTAAAGGTGGCATTTCAACTCAGTGATGGTTTTTTAAAATGGCACTAGAATAATTGGCTATTACATGGAAAATAAAGTCAGACCCCCCCCCCTTTTCAATTATAGATGGATTGGATGCAAAGGTAAAGCAAACATTCAGGAGGAAGCAAATTTAGGAGAGTATTAAATAATACCTAGGTAGGGAGACCTTCTTAAATAATACAAGAAACTCAGAAAGCATAAAGGAAATGAAACAGGTTTGATAATGTAGACAATTAAGATTTTCCAGTGGTAGAAGATACTGGAAAAAGTCAAGGGGTAACTAATGGGCTGTGGAAAGTGGTTGCAATAAATTTCAGACAAAGGATGAATATCCAGAAATTCAGTTGAACTACATGAAGTGGATGATAATCAACTGTTTGTAACCAAAACGAATGGCAATTTTAGTATTTCAACTCAATACCTGGGGCTTGCTTTTATTTATGTACTTTTTTTGGGGGGGGGTGGCTTCCATATGTTGACAAGAAAAAGACAACCTACTAGAAAAAAAGATGGCTATAAATTACAAATAGGAAATTAGTAGAAAATAAAATATACATAGCCTATATATAAATACATGATCATAAATACACTAGAGGCCTGGTGCATGAAATTCTTGCATGGGGGTGGAGGGGGAGGGTCACTCAGCCCGGCCTGCACCCTCTCGCAACTTGGGATCGCTGGCTCCTAACCACTCGCCTGCCTGCCTCATTGCCCCTAACCACTCTGCCTGCCTGATCGCCCCTAAACCCTCTGCCTGCCTGCCTGCCTGATTGCCCCTAACTGCTCGCCTGCCTGCCTGCCTGATCACCCCTAACCACTTGCCTGCTTACCTGATTGCCCCTAACTGCTTGCCTGCCTCATCGCCCCTAACCACTCTGCCTTGGCCCCCACTGCTGTGGCTTAATCCAGAAGGACATCCGGAAGGTCGGCTGTCCAGTCTAATTAGCATATTATGCTTTTATTATTATAGATAAGTAAATCTATACATATTCATGTATAAAAATGAAAGTTAAAGTAATAGGAAGAACATGGTTACTATCAAAGAAACAAAATAACAACTGTCAGTGAGTATGTGGAGAAATTAGAACCCATATGTACTGCTGGTATAAATGTAAAATATTACAGCTGCTACAGAAAATAGTATGGAGGTTCCTCAAAATACTAAAAATAGAATTACATATGACCCAGTAATTCCACTTCTGGGTATATATCCAAAAGAATTTAAAAGCAGGTCTTAAAGAAATATTTGTATGCCCATGTTCATAGCAACATTACTCATAATAGCTAAAAGATGTCAGCAACCCAAGTGTCCACTGACTGATGAGTAGATAAACAAAATGCGGTATATCCATACTAACACGGGTTCCTGAACCCAATTCTAATTTTGGGAAGGGTTCCCTCCAATAAATAATTCGCAGCCACTAGCAGTGTGTCTGAGAATTTAACTCAATTCTGAAACTACCGGGAGATAGCATCAGACTCCACAGGTTTAGGATTCAGTCACACAAGACCCACCGCCCCCCTGCCACCCAACACACACACACACACACACACACAGGGCTGGCCCGAGCTGGGGCATGGTGGCTCGCTGGGCCCCCCTGTCTCTGTCTATGTCTCCGCTCCGGACCTCACCTATGCATGCAACCTCCTCCTGTCTGGTTGTGACCTGCAGACACCAGCCCAAGTTACCTGTGCTTCTAATCGACTGGCATAGATTGGAGGTTCCAATGACCCCGCCCCCTTCCTTGGGTTCAATTAATTTGCTAGACCAGCTCACAGAACTCAAGAAAAAATTCATTTACTCACTACAGTCACTAGATTACCGATTTATTACAAAGGATATTAAAGGTTGACAAATCAATAGCCAGATGAAGAGATACATAGGGTGAGGTCCTGAACAAAGGAGATGTGAAGAGATTTTTTAGATGTGACTACCTTTTAAATCACTGGCCTTTGAGTAAAGCAGTTACCCTGCAAAATATAGGTGGGCCTCATTCAACCAGTTGAAGGCCTTAAGAGAAAAGACTGGGGTCCCTTGGAGAAGAAATTCTCAAAATTGCAACATAGAAATCCTGCCTGAATTTTCAGCTTGCCTGGCTTACCCTGTGGAATTTGGACTCAAGATGGCAACACATAGATGGTACTAGGTTT